GCAGAAGTGTTTTGACAAATCATGTCAAGATGCTATTAACCCTTAAAAAAAAATTGATCAGCAATTAATGAAAAAACACATTTTCCCATTTAAATTTCATTTATAAAGTAAAGAAAATTAAGAAACAGCTCATATTTACAGTAACTTCTCACTACTAGTCATTGTAATAATGAGTAATTACACTTTTGTTATGTTACAAAGTTAGTGGAAAAATAAGTTTAGTAAAAAATATATAAATTAGAGGAAGATTATCACATGGAAAGTGTAAAAAGTACACTATGGCCTAAACAAACTTTCACATTAAATGACCAACGTAACATTTTCAGTTCTTTTTGTTCTCTGAGATCTAACTCTTGATGAAAGCGTGATCCATCAAAACCTCCACAGCATATCAAATGTCTTTCCTTCTTCGAGGCAGCAACAGTAACATTTGCACAGTGAAATTCTCCCAGCTGGTTCTTCTCAAGTTTGCGGGCCTCAAACCGCTAAGTGAAAACAAAGAAAGATGCAGATTAGGATACAGAGGGTGAAGACAGTGTACACGTGCAACAACTCAAACCAGTTTTTTTGTTTTGTTTTACCTTTGGTCTTTGCTTTGACAATGAACTGTTTGCTCTTTTTTTCCAGCATATTAGAGGCAGTGCAGGTGTAGGTTCCTGGGAGCAATGAGGAGGAAGTGACAACTGCTTCCTCCCTCATTTTCTCCTGTATAGGCTGGGAGGATTGCCAGCTGTATGCAGGTGTGGGGTTTCCTGCAGCCGTGCAGTTCAGKGTGATTTCTTCACCTGGTATTAATTCAAAAACTTCTGTTTCAGGACTGAAGAATGTTGGAGGACCTAGAGAGTCACATGTATTAATCATTGATGCTTAAAAGGATTATTCATAAAGTGAAAACRGCTCCATAACGTACAGTACACAGATGCCGTGAGAGGCTCTGAGGCTACAGTAGGCGGTGGCTGCGGTCCCTCGGGTCCAAGCTCCAGCTCTGCCACACACTTATACTCGGCATCATTCTCAGCTTTGGTCGGCGTGATGACAAGAGTCGAGGACACTTGGACGGGCGAGGAAGACGTGAGGTCAGAAAAGGAGTGTTTGTAAACCTCAGTCTGCCCTCTGTACCACCTCAGGGTGAGAAACTGAACCGGAGCGATATTCTGAACCTCACAGAGCAGCTGATACTCTTTCCCCTCCACCATGGGCCCAGTGTGGTTCACCAGCCGGATGGAAACGCTGTCCGGGGTTTCTATGAAGAGAACAAATTGTTCGGGTCAGTGAACAGGTCAATTTCAGTCAGGCTTTTAGAATCCAGATTCCCCAAAAACTGTGATGTTTAAAATGAAAATAAAAGCAAACAGTGATAATTTATACTTTTTTTTTTCAAACCCATATTTTATTCACAATGGAACGAACATATCAAATGTTTGGATTTCTTTTGGAAATGTTGAATTTTGTGGCAGCACCACATCTCAAAGAAGTTGGAAAATGAAAAGGAAACAGCTTGGCAACACATCAGTAAGACGACTGTAAATAAAAACAGCGTTTTAGAGATTCTGATTCTCTCAGAAGTAAATAAACAGAAGTTCACCAGTCTGCGAAAACCTAGKAAACATAGTGAAACAATGTTAGAAAAAAATGTTCCTCAAAGGAAAAACTCAGAAGACTTCTAAAATCATGTTATCTACAGTTCATATCATCATCATCATTCAAAAAAAAAAAAAACAGTCAATATTGGTCAATCAGGTTCTCAGCCAAAAGTGCGTTAACTGAACATCACTGCATGGCCACAGGGACGTTTCCACAAATTAGTTTCAATAAACACAATTTGCAATGCCATTTACAAATGCTGGGTAAAGCTCTATCAAGCAATGAAGCAGCCATATGTGAACACCAGTCAGACACATTGATGTTTTCTGTAGGCCAAAAATGGAATGAGGCAAAAAGGAAAATGGTTCTCTAACAGTAATTCCCAACCAGCATATTACAGGGGGGTATGTGGAAAAATGTCCCAGGTGTGTAAAAAAATAAATAAAAATAGGACTGGGATATGTAGGGCCCCATGATTTCCACAGTGCAGAAAGATGCAAACGGAATCAAGAAATTGACAAAAAATAGTATCCAGTATAAAACGTGTAATCTCACGGAATTTGCTCATTTGGGGTATTTGATGCATTTTGGACGCTGCTGCTTCCTGCACCTGCCACTACCTGGTTTATTGATTTAATTACTTATTCACTGTCAAGGCAACGTTTTTATCTTTGTTTAATTTGAGTTGAAAAAAACAAAACGCCTCATAAACGTTAAATAAATAATTTTCATGTAATATTCAGTTGTATATTATAGTTTTAGAGAATCATCATCATGTTTGACAGAAGGGGTACTAGTGTTATGACAAAATGGCTCAGGGGGTACACAAGTCTAAAAAGGTTGGGAATCACTAACATATTAAAGAGAAGAAAGACTCAGTTTAAAAGCCTGCCTCTCTGACGGTATGGGRGTGCATTAGKGCCYCTGGCAAAGCTTACGTGTGGAAAGGCACCATCAGTGCAGAAAAGTATACAAGTTTTAAAATGACAAATAATGACATCCAGGATAGAAGAAATAAGGCTCAGGACAGTTGAATTCTCTATCAAAGAATGGGACAAAATTCTCCTTCAAAAACTCCAAAAACTGTTCTCGGTTCTTAGACGTTTACAGGGGATGCTTCACGGTGGTAAACATGATCCTGTTCCAACTGTTTTCAGATGTGCTGCTGCCATCAAATTTGAAAATTACCTTATTTTTACCTTAAAAATGGTAGTTTCTCAGTTTAAACATCTAACATGGGTTTATAAGATTTGCAAATCATTGCATTCTGTTTAAATTTACATTCTGCACAATGTGGTTGTGAAAAGCACAGCTCTGACTCACTGTAAAGAACTAGGTTGAGTTTCTCCTCACACTGTCTGGGAGCTGTGAAAAACACCCCGTAGCAGATGGGCTCCTCAATCCAGTCGATGAGGCTGTCCACCCTCCACTGGACGGACCGGTCCTCGTGCGTCTGCGGAGCGCTGAGGGCCGACTCCCAGCCCAGAACGCGAACGGGGCGCGTAGCCTCACAGCTGACCGACACAGACTCCCCGAAGCCCACCACCACCCTGGAGGGCTTGAGGATCAGGGAGCAACCTTCACCCGACACTGAGGCACACAGCAGCAGTCATCAACACCACAGAACCACCACACAGACACACAGAACTTTCATCTTTCGAACTCTTCCTTTTAACGTTTCTGAATCATGCATCACCTACAGCTCAAATAAGTGGGATTAAAAATATCAGCTTACCTGAACAAAACATGCAAAACACCACAATCCCTGTCAGAAAGTTGTTTCCCATGGTATATATTTTTTCCTGCACTGAGCCGTCGAAAGAGAGAAAATTCCAACTTGAACAACCTTGGCAACTCTGCAGGGAGCTATGTTGGAACAAAACAGGGTTCCCTCCCAGCTGACTTCAGGGACAGGAGGAGGGGGCAAAGAGGGGAGTTTAACAAAGCCCGTCACTTTGCACTGCAGACATTTTTTAACAGAAAATTAAAAGCATGGACATTTGGTTTAAAAAAATTGTTTTCCCTCCAACTTCAACACGGATGAACATCTTTGATTACTGTGTTAAAACCACACGAATCTGCTCTCCTATTAAAAATGTCTGAACTGATTAGACGTTCCCCCCGTCCTCAGAGTTTCTTTTATTTTGTCAGTTTGTGACTGGTTGTGCAGGAAAGCGTGTTCTCAGCTCGTCTCGCACGCTCGACCCGTCCGGCCTCCGGCCTCCACGCTTTGTTAAATCCCAGCAGGCCCGAGCGGTGGACATGTGCAGCGCGCAGCTTGTAGGGCTCACCACTGTGACCAGAATGCTACGCAGCAGATCTGCTCGGACCACAACTGTCACTGCAAGAGGGCGAGATATTGGATGCCTTTTTGTCCCCTTCTTTTTTGGGGTGTGCGTATTTACAGGAGTGGACAACTGGGAATGCCAATGCTCACATTCTCACTTACACATTTAAATRTGCTTCAACAAGTTCATGGGAAAACAAGACATGGCTTTAGTGAAACTTTGATCTTTCACATCTATGACTCATCTGCCAGGTTTTTATGGCAACACAGGCAAAGCATAAACAGYTGGCCTACTTTACAGTGAAATCGTTGAAGGAAATCAAAAGGGATAAAAGTCGAMGGAGATATATTTTAGTAAAAAAAGGGGTTCTAATTTGGCAACTTGAGGCAGGGTAGCATACACGTTTCTTTACATTCTCTTTGTTAGCATCTAATTGGTATGGATGTGCCAGACGTGTAAAATGTAGGTCAGTGTGAAAGAGGCKGAGGAAGTGGTCCAACAGATTAACAAAAGAAACACAGACACGGGTTTGACTTTGCCTCCATCAGTATTCTGCCAGAGACGGAGGCTACACAAAAATACATCCATCTTTTAAAGGTATAGCCCCAAATAATTATTTAGCTGTCACAACACATTTCATTTGGAAGCATTGGTCCATCGAGGATCTGTGCTTTTAAGTTACAAAACATCTCAAAACAACAACTACCGTATTTATTTGTGTATAATACGATCTCATGTATAATACGACCCCCCTATTTTTAGCCTAAAAAGCATAATTTTTTTAATTCTCATACTACCTCTAATTTCATATGGACTCCAGGATTTTTTAGCCTTTGCAGTCTTTATATTTATCATTAAAATTATCATTTGACTATTGTATCAGTTTTTAATTTTATTTTAACAACATATGTACTAAAAGGTACACAACAACAAATGTATAATAACTACAACAAAAGCTATCAATGCTCATTTGTTAACTGGTGTGATATAACAAACAGGTAGAGCTATGTGGCTCTAGCAAGTGTGGATGAAGCTGAATCAAAGCCTTCAAAATCAGGCTCACCATCATCAGTATCATTAAAAGTTTATGGTATTCCTCCTCTGTAATAAAGGCATCAGAATCCCACTCAACAACAATCTCATCCTGTCTCGTGAGCGCCCCCTCTGGTGGGGAAACTTTTTTCAGGTAGACCAACTTTTACAGAACACCGGTAGACGGCAGCCATTACAGACGACCATGTGTTTGTTGTTCCAGGAGCGGCCCGGACGCACATTAATATCATTAGTTCGTTATGCAGAACTGCTTTTTTTTTTCTTTCTTTTTTTTTTCACATCATGTCGCCTGTTTGGATCTGTTACTATCTCGCTGGGAGAACCACAATGAAGTGWTGGAGGTAAGATCGCTTCAACCGTTTTTCACGACGTGGTTTTATTTCCGGACTCAGGGATTTTGTGAATGAGGCCGATATTTCAGTTAAAATACATCAGCAAAAATATTTATCCGAGTATAGTACTACCCCCCAACTTAGTGCATGATTTTATGGATTAAATTTTACGTATTATACTTGAATAAATACGGTAATTGTTTTATCGTAARAAATAAGGCACAGAAATAACCTGCTCCATCAGTGCGTCAAGAAATAAAACAGTCAAAGACATCACAGCACACATTAAACAATTCGACACTGTTACACGATTAAAAAACACACAAACAAACAGATTAAAAAATCAACACATTGTGCATTTGTAGTCTGAGTAATGTCATAATTACTGTGGATGTACCGAAGTGGTTCATAATTATAGAGCGGTAAAAAAAACAACAGTTGGATAAAAATTAATGTTTTTTTAAGCGGAAGTTTCCCTTTTAAAAAGAAAATCACTTTCATTGGGAATAGGAAAGGACCAAAACTAGCTGCTAAAAATGCTACAAGAAGCCAGAAGTCGCCCTGARGTTTCAAGAGCAGATGTGATACAAAGCTCTGGTATCATTCTTAGACGTCAAGTTTTTCCTGGGAAAAATGAAACGAACAAAACAACAGAGCCGAGGTGTGGCTGAGTCTGCTGCTGGTTTTTTAAAACGTCCGTAACASAAGATAACATTGGTAGTGTGCACAGAAGCATCAACATGATCCCAAACTTTGGCAAGCAGAAAGTAAAGCTTTTACAAAAATAAGTTTCACCTTATTACCCCATTAATACTCCTTTAAATGTTGTTTTAAATTTCTGATCTTCACAAGCTTCAATTTGCTATTTGATCAATAGAAAACAGTGAGTTTAACAACACAGAAACATAAAAAAAGACGTTTAAATGCTCAGATAAGCTAACGAGTCAAGTCATCTTTGTGATTAACACTGATTTGRACGACTAGTTCAGTTCACTGGACTAACCAGCCGAGAGTCAACCTTTACACACAAACAACTGTGCAAAATAAAAAATAACAATAAAGCAAGTCAGCACCACATTACCACAGCAGATCTATCAAAAATAGAAATGACTGTTCCAGTGAGTCAGCTGGAAAATGATTCAGAAAGAAAAAGTAGCTGAGAAGAGACGCTTTCAAAACATAAAAAAAGATCCAGAAAACAGAAAGAACATCTTAAACGAGGTGACTCATGCTTCTACCCCACTCCCTCACAGTAAATGTCCCAGTTGTTAATAATAAAACATTGATGAACAGAGTATAAAGCCAGCAGATGAGATTATGYGTTAACTTTTGTACCAGCGAATCAGAAGACAGGAAAGCACAAGCTGTACCTCTTACACCTCATCGAGGCATTCGCAGTACCTGGTGCTTTAAAAACACTAAAATAATTATAGTTTCTGTAGCAAAGGCATGCAACACTAAATTACATAAACCTCATATAACTCCTGATGGTTGGGGCAAAGCAAACGTTCCTTTCGATGTAACAAAAACAAGTCCAGCGATGAAGAGAACGGCTCCCAGGCCGATAAATCCTCCCAGTATGGCTGCGAAGGTGGTTCGGTCTCCTGTGGAAGAAGAGACGTTTGGTTAGATCGATGCTTCCGGTTCACTGTTACAGCTCATCTTTAAAAAAGAAGGGCCTCTCTGTGATGAACAAACATCCCAAAATTAGGGTTACGACAAATAAAAATCACTGACAAACAGTAATGGGAAACAGGATGAGGAGCAACACGTTACTTTCAGCTTGGAGGACGGTGAAATGTTTGGTTGTTTGGCCGAGCTCGTTGGAGGCTGTGCAGCTGTAGATCCCTGACTCCTCAGGAGTCAAAATGGACTCGATCCCGTCTTGTTTCTGCGTCGCCTCTTGTGTGGTAGGTGCAAAGCGCCAGCTGTACGATGGACTTGGGTTTCCGGCAGCCTTGCAGTTTAAAGTSAGGTTTGTATCAGGGGTCATTTCCAGGGTCTCGTTGGAAGGCTCCGCGAAAGTCGGTGGGTCTGAGGATGAACGTGAAGTCTGAAAATTAGCTTCCATTATTGAGCTTTTACAGTTACACCGAGGAAAAACAAAAACTTACATTTTACTGTTAATTTCCGCAGCTTTGACCGAGCTACAGGAGGACCTTGTCCTGCTGGCCACAGGTTCAGTTTCACCTCACACCAGAAATCCCTTCCATCATCCTCTCTGTTGGCTTCCACTTGGATCGTTGATGTTGCATTGACATTATTTATAAGAAAATTTGTTGGTTCTTTGTATATCTTGTTTCCTTTGTACCAAACCACAGACAGTTTGTCAGATGGTCTAACATCCACAGCATCACACTGTAAGGAATACTGCCGGCCCTCCACCATGGGACCCCACTGGCTTTCATTGAAACTCACACTGGCTGGCATTTCTTTAGCAAAAAGTAACAGAAATAAAGAAGCAAGTTAGAACAATAAAGTAATTAATGAAATTAAAAATATGGTTTATTTAAAGCTGCCATATAAAGTTACTTACGGTAAACTGTGATCGGGAGGATTTCAAATTTCTGTTGCTGTTCATCACTGAAGGTGATATAACACAGTGGTTCTGGATACCAGTCTTTCACTTTGGGAATATTTAAAGGTAAAGAAGTAACTTTGTTTTTCAGGCCTCCTCCACCGTATGTAGTCTCCCAACCCATTCCCTCCACATTGATGCAGGAGGAGGCGCTGCAGTTGGCAAGAATAGGATCTCCAAATCTCACCACAAGCTTCGGAGGATCAAACTTAATTTCACAAGAACGCGCAGGATTTCCTAGGACACAGGAGACATGACGCTTATAGTGAAAGTAGCCACAAAAAGCAACTAACTAGAGAAATTGCATTTCCTGCGAAAATACTAGAGTGAATGCTTATTACTGAAAACTATAGCTGAAAGCTGAAAGCTATAGATTAATGCGAGCTCAGTGGAAACGTGAAAGAAGCATAAAAAACTACATTTTGCAGAAAGAAGTTGAAAGAAGCACAAAAAAGTAGAAATTAGCAGAAAAATAGCGGAAAGGAGCAGAATTATATCTGAAATAGCAGGGGGGAGCTAAAATTAGCACAAATAAGTTAGAAACAACAACCAGAACAAAAGCTTTAAAATCCAATAAAGATTTATAAACATTTTGAAGAGTTTTAAAGATGTTGAAAACAGCTCCATTCATTTACAATGAGAAAAAGTGTCCATCCATCATTAGGGGTGTAAGAAAATATTGATACAATGAAATATCGCGATATTTCATTTCCCGATACTGTATCGATATTCTAAAGCCCTGTATAGATTTTTTTATTAAGGTTTAAAATGTCAACTTTCCTGCCAGCCGTTCATTTTTATGTTGTAGTTCAGCCTCTGACCACTAGTTGGCAGCAGTGAGCCAGCCATTTGGCTCCTCTACCTCTTGAGGTAGAGGCTATTGTTAAGTGTTGGGTGACCATATTGTAAATTAATATTAAAAACTAAAAGCTGCAAAAAATATATCTTCAAACTATTTATTGTCAAATTTAGTCTAATAATTGAAAACATGGATGAAATAAGAAATATGAAACAAATAAAATAAAATACATACAAAGCAGAACACAACTAAATGTATCAAAAGTATGTCTCTGTAATATTAGAATTTTGGTTTTTCATTTTTTTTCACTGTAAAAGGTTTTATTTAATAGAACTTTTGGACAAAAAAATCGCAATATATCACAATATATCACCTTGCTTATAGTATCGCAATATATTGGGATATATCGTATCGTGACCCCTCTGTCATGATATGTATCGTTTCGCCAAATTATTGCCAATACACAGCCCTAACTATCATGGATTTCTTTTGGCTACTATTTGTGATAGAGGTTGATCTTAGCTACTAGCATACCAGTTTTTAGCTCAATATATCAAAAAATGGCTGAATTGAAGCACCTTTTAGCACAATTTAACTTTGGTGGCAATCTTAAAAAATTATTTCTGCATGAAATAGATAAATTTAGTAAAATAGAGGCTGAAACGTGCAAAACAGGGCTAAAACTAGATAAGATGTGCAGTAAAACAGCTGAACTGTAGCTGAACATGCTAATATTAGCATAAAAAAGTAGGAGCACGTTTGCTGAAGGATGCAGAAAAACACTTAAAAAGCCACCAGAATGTGCATTATCTTGAAAAAGCTATATTTAGCAACAAACAGCTCAACAGTAGCTAAAATGCATAAAGCAGCTGAAATTAGCAGGATGCAACTGAAAGAAGTGTAAAAAGCTCAAATTAGCAGTAAGAAGCTCAAACAAGCAGATGTTAGCAGAAGAATAGCAGAAAGGAGCTAAATTACAGCTGAAATATCAGAAAAAAAAAACTAAAGTTATCAAAAAAGAAGCTAAACTTAGTTAGCACATGGAAATTAAAAAGAGCAGAACCAGAACAAAAGGTATAAGGTGCTGTAAAGATTTAGAAACATTTTGAAGGATGTTGAAAACAGCTCCTTTCATTTCCAATGGGGAAAATGTGGACGAAAAGTGAAATAACAAAAATAAAATAAAAAACTGAAATACCAAAAGTCATAGTCGGAATGCCCTGAAGGAGCTGAGTGTTTTGAGATATGAATCGTTAAAATAGCACAAAAATTGCAGAACGACATACTGTACGTGCCAAAACCATACAGAAGAAAAAACTGACCTCAGTAGTGTGAATGCTTGTGAAGCGTTCACACTATTAGCTGTTATGTTCCCTGCTTTCTTCTTCTCTCGTGATTTTGCTCATTTTAACTTTCGGTATAGTTCCTCATTCATTAACTGCTAGTTACAGTTTTGCAAATTTGATCTTTTGGATATGCTTTAGTTAATTTAGTCTTCGGGTTTTGTACATTTTAACTTTTTTAATTAATTCTAAGACTTTAGCAAAGTTTTTAAATGTTTTTAGATGCTATTTATGGCTTTGCTGATTTCAGCTTTTATCATTTAGCAAATTTTGTCTCTTAGCATATGTTTTGATGACTTCAGCCTTTTGATTTGACCATTCTGCTTGTTTTATCTTTGGCAATTTTTTTACCAGTCATTCAGCACTCAGCATTCACACTGCATTTACTGTAGACATAAAATGCAGTTTCTCTGGTGACAACAAAAATTCTAAAGGTTAAATTGCAAATTTGGGTATTTCTCATTTATAATTATATCATTTACTCTGCAAATCTCTGTGCATGGTGTGAGGCGGCTGCAAAACAATAGTGAGTAGTCATCTCTGTCCTCTTTGACAGAACAACAAAAAGAGTCTTACTGGATCTACCCGCCTGGCACGGATTTAAAAAAATAAAAAAACGTCATTTTTATTTTTATTTGTGCAAAATAAGAAATATTTACAAACATGTTCAGAAAAGCCAGCACCTTTTTAGGCCTCAGTGTTCTGTTAGGAAAATCCACCTGCTAATTAGGGGTGTAAGAAAATATTGATACACTGAAATATCGCGATATTTCATTTCCTGATACTGTATCGATATTCTAAAGCCCTGTATCGATTTTTTTATTAAGGTTTAAAATGTCAACTTTCCTGCCAGCCGTTCATTATTATGTTGTAGTTCAGCCTCTGACCACTAGTTGGCAGMAGTGAGTCAGCCACTTGGCTCCTCTACCTCTTGAGGTAGAGGCCATTGTTAAGTGTTGGGTGACCATATTGTAAATTAATATTAAAAACTAAAAGCTGCAAAAATATAATTTCAAACTATTTATTGTCAAATTTAGTCTAATAATTGAAAATATGGATGAAAATAGAAATACGAAACAAATAAAATAAAATGCATACAAAGCAGAACAACAGCTAAATGAATCAAAAGTATGTCTATGTAATATTAGAATTTTGGTTTTTCATTTTTCTTCCCCAGTAAGAGGTTTTTATTTAATAGAATTTTTGGACAAAAAAATCACAATATATCGCCTTGCTTACAGTATCGCAATATATCAGGATATATCGTATCGTGACCCCTCTGTCATGATATAAATCGTATCGCCAAATTCTTGCCAATACACAGCCCTACTGCTAATAAAGCTCTAACACTGATTAATAACACATTATATCACATAAATAAAGTCTTAACTTTGGATCAAAAACACCAGATCACATTATGTATGTTTTGCAGCTGTATTATTCAGATGTAAAAAAGTGTTGAACTGGCCTGGGTGCAACCCAGATCTGTTCCCATTAAAATAGCTGAAACACTACACCAAGGGGAAAAAAAAAAAAAAAAAAAAAACATTTCACTTTCAGAACAGCTGCAGCTGAACTCGGTTTCAACAACGTTGAAATAACCATGAACATGTTTATTTAACTGCTGCCGTCCTAACTTCCATAGAGGGAAAAATAAATATAATAAATTTAAAATTAAAGGTCTGGTCAGGACTGAGATCTTATGTTAATAAATAAGTTACTCAAATCTTGGGGGGAACAAAACATTATGCAGGTTAATCAGTTGTAATGACACATCTAATAATTTAAAGATTTTAAAAGAAAGTTTCATTAAACTAGTCCAGTTGGTTATGAAATATTTTGCTAACAAACACAGGCAGAACTTGTCTTTTGCTGTAGGCCTATTGTGTAATAAATACACATGGTGTTGGCGGTCATGCTCATTTTGCTCACTATAATCTTAACTACAGCATTTGACTGCAAGAGGGCTTTAAGCAAGTTTAACATAAACTCAGGCAAAAGTTGTAAACATACTTTTCATATGTCTAATAAATGATTAACCAAAAAAAAGTCTTCAACCAAACAAATGTGGGCGTCGGCTCCTAAAAAACTGACGCGGTGGGGGAAAAAATAGTGCCACAACAGATTTCTGATTTATAATTCACGACGACTTAACAATGAGCGGGACAGTCATTTAGCCTACCTGATAGCGAAATTAACATGAACAGGTCTATCAAAAGCCGCATCATGATTTGTAGCAAAGTAGGTGAAAAGAGGAAAAACACAAATCAGCTGAAAAGTCGTCCTCAGTTCCGAGGAGCGGCGGAACAAATCCTTTAACCTTTCTCGTGGCGCGGTCGAAACCAAAAGCAAAAAAAGAAAAAACGGTGCGTTTGCGTACATCAAGTAAAACTCGCTTCAGCAACAGTAGCCTTAAGACTGATTTAAAAAGTCTGCAAACAGACAAGACGCATGTAGGAAATCCCCTAATCTTTCCCAAAGAGAGTAACCGCCCTTCACTTGGACTTTTTCAAAAAAAAATATTGGAAGGTAATTAACTTCTTATGTAACTTACAGCGGTCTCTCTTAAACATTCTTGTTTTCACCGGTTTGTCCTTGAACGTCTCTAAAATAAAGCTATTTTAAGATTTCATTTTATTGTGACCCTTCTTAGTTCCTTAAAAAAAGAAACGATGAGTAACGTTGGGCTAAATATAAAGAAAATTGATGTTTGCGTAATCCATACTTCCTTAAAACCTTTGCTCAATGTGTAGCAAGTAGACTAAATCAGTGTTTCCCAAAGTTGGGGTCGGGACCCAAAATGGGGTCCCGAAACATCAAGGTGGGGTCCTGAAAAGATTTTTGGAATTAATTACATTTTTGCCTTAGTTGTTACAAAGGAGTGAGGTTAGTGTATTTAAAATAGATAAATGTAGTATAAAAATATTGTTACTTTTAATATTAACTGTTGTTTAGTTGACCTGATACAAAAGTTTATCATCCAAAAAAAGTTGGGGGCACAGGTCTCTGCTACTGTTATTTTGTGGGTCAAAAGCTGAAAAGTTTTGGAACCACTAAATTTTGGTTCCCAATTTGGACATGGGACCCAATAATGGGTCATGAAGCACCTTAGATAATCTCCAGAAATTAATTTAAAGGGCAATAAAATAATTACTGATGTAATATTTCCCCCCTAACTATTACAAAAACACAAAATAAGTATAAACAAGTATTTATATTTGTGTAAAAGCTGTTTAGATTGTCAAAAAGCCTGTGTTTTTAGGGTTATTAACAAAGTTTGTGTACTCAGACCAGTAATATTTGGGGTCACAAGTGTTTGCCATGAATATTTTGTGGGTCAGAAGGTAAAAAGTTTGGGAACCACCGGACTAAATTCACTGAATATTTCTCCGACAAAGTGCCCTGCAAAAGCAACAATTTTAATAGTTAAAATACCGTTTTGCACACATTTAAATCACTATTCACAATTTGCAGTGTCTACTTCTCACATCACAGTTGAGATTAGAGCATTTTAAGTGTACATACCTCTGTGCAGTTCATTCTGAAAGCCAACTTCACACTGATTTTTAATAAATAAATACAAAATTTTTTGCCTTTACATAAATATTTTTACCTCAAAAATACACTATAAAGAGAGCAGTCACTTCAGAAGCACAAACATGTGGAATAAGACAATGTGGCACTAAAAAAAGGTCAATAACAAAAAGATGTCATGCAAATAGTATCCAAATTTTTTTCCCCAAAAAGCTGTAGCCCTATTTACCAGTTTAGCTACAACAGGATCACATCAGTTTCACGCTCCCAACATGGCAAATGCATGTTGAAATTATGAGCCGTTTTTTTAAAAAAATGTTTTTATGTAGAAATATGGCTTTGTTGTAAAAATCACAGGGGCATGTCCAACATTATCACTGCAAAGTCAAATACACAAGAATCATATTAGAGTCCCTTTGTATAAAAATTAAATATAAAAGTTGTGCCAAGTTTGAAGTCCTTCATCTTTTTCGTCCCTTTCTGTCCACTGAAAGGAGGTGAAATCCAGTAGTAGGTGCAAAACTACATTTTCGAGTCAAAGCAGAGTTTTGGGGACAGTTTGGTGCAGTAGAAGACATTTCCAGCTTGTTTCAAATGTATTCAGGTTTTACAACACTGTTAGATTTTGGGTGTGAGAGTTTGAGCTCCTTCCCAGCATGAGTCCTGTATCGTCAACACCTGTGGTGCTAAGACAGTTTGGTCACAGGTAACTGGATGTCCCAACCATTGTGAGCCACGTTGCTATTCTGGCTGCTGAATTTGGGGTTTTTAAGGCTGTAGCGGCGCATCTTCGTGTTCTTGTAGTAGATTGAGTAGATGAAGAGGAAGACAACAGAGATGATCACAACTGTGACAGCCACAAAGCCAGCAATGAGGGGGAGGTAGTCCTCTGTAATGAAACCAAGCCAATAACAAACAATATTAAAAGAAATGTAAATGAATTCGATTAATAATAATTTTAAAAAACATATTCTGTGATTTGAACAAAGAAGCTTAAAATGAAGTTGTGACAGAGAATAACTGGACTATCATGTTTACAGTATTCAATCTTTCTAATTTAGCTTTTCCGGCATCTTGACTAATGAAAATGTATTTTGCTGATGAAATGACTTTCCTCGACCCGTCTCTGGTGAACTCCTGTAACTGTTGAACACTAACCAAAAGTTTCAAAAAGGCACAAAGAACTGTAACCAACAACACAGCCACAATAACTCACTGAAATCCCAGCGTAAAAACAAACAAGTCCAGATCTACAGTAAATCCACGCCGATGATAAATATTAATTCAAAAAAATGTTTCAAATCTACCCATTTTTATTTCAGATATGTCCTCCAATAAATTAAATCCTAAAATTGGGGGGAGGCTGCCAAGGTCGACACTAGGGTGTGTATTGGCAAGAATTTGGAGATACGATACATATCATGACAGAGGGGTCGCGATACGATATTTCCCGATATATTGCGATACTATAAGCAAGGTGATATATTGCGATTTTTTTGTCCAAAAATTCTATTAAATAAAAACCTCTTACAGGGGAAAAAAAAAAAAACCAAAATTCATTGTCTCAGAAAATTCTAATATTACATATGTAAAGAACCCTGCTTTATGAGATTAATACCAGCTTAATCT